TATACACATTTAACATTCTAGAATCATTCTTATTTTTTTTTTCGTATTTTTGACTTGAAGAACAGACAAAAATATATATGCTTCTTATAATATTTATGGCTTTTATGTTTACGGTTATATTAATTTTAGAAACGTATATATAATTAATACGAGACTCACCCAATGGACCTCATTGATGATAGTATTGTTATATCAAGTGCGGGAAAGGAGAAAATTGTGGCAATTATGAACGTTATTTTCTTTTATCATGAGAAAGGCTTTACTGACACGGGAAAAGCATAAAGCGAACGTATAAAAAAATACAAATCGTTTCTACCTCGATGATTTATGTGAGGGAAATTTTACTTTGTTCTGTAAAAGTTTTTTTAATATTACAATATTCAGATGAAGTATGTGTAATGTCGCTATGTTGACATACGAATTCAAAGGCATTGAATATATACTATGTAGATTTTACATATCTCCAAATTAAATGAAGTTTTTGATTATAATGTGTTAGATTTTTTCGAGTAATTTAAATTACAAAATATTATTTATTATTTTGGAAACTCTTAGTATCCGAAAACTTAGTATCTGAAAAAAGTTTTTGAGTTTGTAAAACAAATGTTATATGTATGAATATATGTAGAAATTTTTTTTGTTTATAATATCCAGTATTCTAGACGGCAACGTTGTATAGCTACAAAATACATATATGTATGTAAAAAACTATAGAAAAAAGTTTTAAACCTTACAATTCTGATTTGAATTAAATAAATTGTTGTTATTGAATATCAGGTTTACATAAGCAGAAGTTATCCAGAGACCAAAAGTAATTATTATATTTTTTACATACTAATTTAATTGACTGATGAATGATAATAATCTAAGGGAGACTTGACTTATTGTTATATGAGGCCAATATTGGGAAGGGTATAGGTGACACCCCTCTTATGTCTAATAAAGCTGTTTCAACACAATTATTTGACACTAATATTAAATATGAAAAACAATAGAAAATTTAGATCTTACTTTGAGAACTTTGTTAGAATATAACGATTAATAATTATTAAACATACGAAGAACATACATTTGAGTGGTCATGTAATTTTATGTAAGTACGTAACAAAAAAAACACATCAATATGTATATTTGTAACGTAAAAATAATGTTGTATGAAAGTATTATAATATAATATTCTTTTAGCACGATCCGTGCCGCAAGGGAAATAGTGTTTTCTGCTACCATTTCCCATATTTGTTATTTCATGCTTTATGGATCAACTCTCGTTGACTCTTTTATACCAAATGTAGCTCTCACATATCCGACACTTTTTATTTCATTTAAATAATATATGTTTTAACTTTTAAAATATTTCAAATCATCCTTTTGATATATTAAAATAAAAATATCTCTCCGTGTTCGCTTTTCATTTATGCTTCTTTATTCAACATATTTACAACATAACAAAGTTATAATAAGTGTAGGTATATATATAAATAAAGATATAATCAAATTAATGTATATTAATAAAAGAAACGAATTCTATGTTAGTGCATTAAGTCTGAAAATATTAATAAAAACTTCAAGATAAATTACTTAACACCACAAATTCATAAACGCTACAAGTTTAAGTAAACCAATATAAGTACCTATAATTTAATCAAACCTATGATCTTGGAAATATAATTTTAACCAAAGGAGGATGATGATGAATTGATAAAAATATAAATGTAATTAAAAATAAAATTATTATAACACTAATAAATAGGTCACAACAATACATAAGCTATAACTTTCTTATCCTCAACTCTTCCATTTTAAACTCATTAAAAAATATTGAAACCTCACTAATGATCTTCCTGCTTCTTTCAAACGATCTATTGTGTAAAACGCTATAGATATAGTTAAATTTACATCATCACCCTTATTTATATAAAACCGTGATGAAAGTAGATAGAATATAGACATCAATCACAGACTAATTTACTAATGCCTTGTATTTACGCTGTAATAACTAAGCTTTTAACGAAAATTTAGCTGATGTATATACTTACAGTTGAAGGGATTACTCAACTGCGTAATATGTTACACTAACACTATATAGAGACTTAATTAAATTGTTAATGAAATTATATGGTTTAAAATGTATAGAGTAAATATTATATTAAACATTTTCAGTTACGCTGCAGATACGGTCCGCAATATTAATACTCGCTTTTAAATAAACTGAAAAGTTATGCTTTTTAAGCTCTCTGAAACTGACAATATTTAAAAAGGGGTTCATTTTTTATTTATGAAAAGATTAAAAGGTTTGCTCGCTATTGTTCTATCGCAATTTGACACAGGACACCAGCTGTGTCCGCTCTACAGTTTCAATATTAGCAAAGTTGGTTGGACACAGTTTTGACTAAAACTCGTCGGACCCGCTACGTTCATCATGCGTTTCAATATTCCTATAAAAACATTTTTATTAATTAAATGTTTTACAAATAGAGCAAATACAACCATATTTGCTTTTAACGTAAAGTTGTTTAATAAATAATAACTGGTAACTGAAAACTGGAAGGAAACAGCTCTGAGAAAAATCGAGTTACAACCTAATATAACTTTGAAAAGGCAGTCTTTTCGCTCTGTAAATCAGTCTAGGGATGAAAAAATTCTCGACGGTAAAGCACTTCGTATTCTTTAGTGTAAGACAAAATGCAAAGGCTTGTTAGACAAACGACTTCTAGTCTAGCGAACTTTTCTACTCAACGGGAAACAAAACCCTGTTTCCTCGTTTCAAGTAAAACTTCAGATCCTATTTAACACTTCTTCAATCTCCGACTTCAACTTTAAACTTTATATTCCCTTTATTAAAATGATGAAGATAGTTACATTCATAAATTTTCTCAAATTTACTTTAACTTTGTAATATTAATATATTTATTGTACCGTTTTATTTCAGTTTTCATAGAGCACTAAAATGAAAGCCTTAGAAACAAAAGTGAAATGGCTCGGAAATATTTATACTATCGTAAAACGAAATTTATAGCTAAAGGCTATGAAAGTCTGTAAAATATTTAAGCGCCAATAGCCTTCTGGATTGAAATGTCTTAGGAAATAGATAGTAGTAAAAATGTCTATGTGATGGTATTTGCATATATAATTCGGTTTTAAATTTAGCGTTAAAACATATTAAGAATATCTATAAAATTATGTATATAGACATATATATATGGATTGTAACTTCTGCAAAATACGTCGTACTAATATATAAAATTAATGTTGAGGAGAAATATAATCGCAAGCGTAGTGTTCTGCTGCTTACTGAATATCAGAAGTGGTCTTGGACAACACTAAAAAGTTTTCTCCCACGTAGTTATACGCCGACAACACGTTTCTCTAAGGGCTTGCTACTTGAAAAGAGATTATCAAATATTGTTAAACAAATAAAAATCAGGCTAACCTTCGACCTTGAATGTTCTGAAATATAAAAAAATCAACCGAGTTACAGTCACACGAAAGAATTGAACTCACAAATCCTTTCATAAAAATATAATCATCGCAAAGTTGATTTATTATATACACTTTTTGAATACCATTACATTGAAACGAAATTTAATGTGATCAGTCCAAATTATTCTGTAGATTCCGAGAAATTATTTTTATATTCATGACAACGTCAAGCCACACCTAAGTCTATCACGAGTTTCGACTTTCCTCTTTAAATATTTTAAAAGTTTATTTATTTCAAAATATTAGAAGGAATGTTATTAAAGATGAATTCTTTTATTTGTGCGAGACTAAAATCTTTCAAGATTCTATGAAAATACGTTTCCCTAGAAGCTTAAAACGAAAGTTTTCACTTGGCATTATGTTCCCTAAAGTTTGCACGGACTTAAAACGTCCTTGTCCCAAGCTAACATTGTCGAGGATTACGGGATATGTAAATATTGCCAAGCCCTCACTCTCTAGTTGTTTTTAGTTAAAAATTAAATAATTTTAAGAAGAAGGCCAGTATACTTAACCATGAGAGTTAAAATTGAACCACATCTACAGATTTTTCACAAATTAAAAGCTATATATATAATTTTAACCATTTTGTAACAAGTTTGAACAGAGATAACTACACTGATCTAGTTCGGAAAGGCAATTGAAATTACCACATTATATTGTCATTATGAGAAAAGTTACTGTAGTAATCTTTGATTTAGTTATTAAGTGATAAATAATATAATAGAAATGATATCTTTAAGCGTTTAAGTTACAAAACAACAGAGAAACAAAAAAAACAATATATGTACATGTTTGTTTCTTTTTATCGAACTGTTTTCTTTTAAAAGAATAACATAAAATAAAAGAAATAGAAAAAATGCTTAATATGATTATCTATAAAACTGTTAATGTTTTTTTTCATATAACATACTACAATTGAACCAAAGTATTTCTATTAATGGAAAAATGCTTTATAACCATCCGTTATATTGATTTTGAAATAATCAAGCTTAGGAATAGCAAAGTTATAAACGTTATCGTATTATTAAATTATATTTGTATACATATGCCTGATATGTATGTAGGCGAGTAAAAGGTTCATAGCTCCCACTAGCCAAGAACGTGATCCAAATATTTAGATTTAATTGGCTGAAACGTTTAGGAAAACTCGTGTGTATTCGCATTATAGATAACAATATTCGTAAGTTTTCTTTACATCTATTTTTATCTAACGAAAAAGTAGTAACAATAACGATTTTTTTATACAGTGCCGATTTAATCATACTAACTGATCATGAATTTTTCGAACCTTTGATTGAGATCTAACTTTATGTATAGCCAAACATATTTTACTATGACACGAACATCAGACGAAGCAAACAAAGAGATTGATTGCCGAAAAGGAAATGTAATCGGACTTGGGTTCCATCTTCGACACGCCTTTGTACTGATTACATTTTTATAAGTGTATTTTTTTATAATACTCAAAACAAAAATTGTACATGTATATTGTATGTCGTATAAATATTTTTTGTTCTTAGAAAACACCTTCACCGTTGTCGTAGAGAAGGATGGGCGCGGTTTGGGTATGTCAGTATGCGGTGGCGGAGGTCTCGTCAGAATACGCAGACTGTACCCACCTCAGCCAGCCTGGAGGACTGGCCGACTGGCTCCCAAAGACCTACTACTCTCTGCAAATGGCGTGCCACTTGCAGGACTTAGCACCTACGTATGTATTATACATTTTTAATAGTTATGAATTCCTAACAGCCATGACTCACTAGTGATAACTTAATTAATTTACAAAATATCATACATCATCTAATATTAGCGGAGAGCTTATAATGAGTATAAAATTTATTCTGTACATCACTTAGTTAATGTACAAATTAATTTCAAAATTATTGAAGAACATTATTTATGCTAAACAATATACATAGCTCAGGCGTTATAAACATTTAAAAACGAATTTCTCGGCCTTCTTAGGGTTTCGGCTTTACGATATTTTCATAATGAATCGACGAATTTATTCAAAGAATCAACAAAGCTTAAAGCTTATAAAGAAGTGAAAATTTACGAGGCGTTAACAATTAAATTACAATAACTGGAACGAGGGTATGCAAATTGATGTTCGTTCGACACAAAAATATTGCTCGTCAAAAACACTTCACTAAATGGGTTGCAAAAATGCTAGTGGCATTTGAAAGAACAAAAACTCGGAACAGTAATTATAAAAATATAACGCCACAGTAGAGTAATCACGCAAGGAATCGAAAATGCTGTTGTAGCCTTCGGTCTGTGAACCGTGTTATAAACATAAAAACTTCATCGGCCGTCTGCGAGTGTGTACAAACCGTAATAAACTGAGAATTGTTGGCCGACGTGTTATATTCCTTCGGCGAAGATTGTTACAATTCATGATGAAAGAAGCAATATGTCACAGTCAAAGGTCAAATTAGACAAGGATTTTTATGATGTTACTAGAGCAGTATTGACGATAGTGACGATTTATTAGGACGGTACAGTGTTATATGAAATAACTTTTATTACAAATCATACAAGGACTTCTTGAAGTATTTTTAGAAATTGAAACATAAATCTTATAAAATATGTATGTTCAAGGGAAAATATAGAACATAGGATAATAATACCTCATTAAAATTTCAAATAGTAACGTTGGCTGCTATAAGCTTATTTTATTTCAGACAGCACGTTAGTATTCGTCGCCAGTTGTTTATGGAACTTTAGACACGAACATGTCGCTAATGACTTGAACAAAGAAAGTTTCTGATTCATTTGGAAGACGCCATCTCTATTATGCCAAATGTAATTTCAGGGACGACTTCTTTGACGTAGCCCTGACTCTTTATTAAAAACTGTCTTTCATCAGGGTTTTAAATTAAATTACCAGTCCAACTGCAACCCCCAACTATATAATTTTAAAATTGTTTACTCCCGTTAAATAAACCGATTGCGACAGTAAACTTTATTTTCATAAAACATAAGGCAACAAAAGTTTATTGGTTTTACATAAAACACAATACCATTCAATAAACAGGGGAACTATGCGTTATAAAATATTACAGGCTTAACAGAATTCAATTATGTTCGATATTCCCCTGCCACGTTGTACGGCGTACATAAATGTGCATTTATATTAAAATCAACTTTATATGAGATACAATTTGATTATGGAATAAATTGGCTGTTCTCCATTGACGCTAAGGAGCGATTGGGATTAATCATATTAAATTGAACACGGACAACATACGAAATTTATTTAATGTTTTATCTTCCAGTGTTTATACGTTCTATATTACTAACGTAAATATGAAGAGGACTTTTATAAATAATTCAACATTCCTCTGAATTTTCAACGGTCCCAAATATTTTTATCATCAGTCAATAATGGTCTCGTTGTTACTTTGATAAAGATACACAAAGCGACCGAATAAAGACCTAACCGTTGTTGTTGTCACTTGAAAAATAGATGGGGCCCTTTGTCCTCTTGAATTAGTACGCTACGTAACTAAAGCTAAATGTTAGAATTAGAGAAACGCTCGCCTCAATTACTTTGCCGTATTTAATTAGAGCACAGACTTTATTCGAGGATGGTTTACATTCCGACAACTGGAAATGAATGGACAGAACTATTTTACAAATACCGGTTCCATGTAGACATCAAATATTTATATTCAATTTTATAATAAAAACGGAATTAATATGCTCGAGACTTCCAGATTTTCATTGATTATCATTTGTTTTTGTCTTGAGTGTTCCAACATTAACAATTTAATGAATGAACATTACAGTAATTAATGAATGTAATATGTGTATTTAACATATACATTTATTTTACAAAAACTATCTCATTATTGTTTGTTGCCAAACAATACAAATATTTTGGCTCCACCTATCTTGGCAATAAAGTTTGCTATGATAGAAATTATGCTTTCGTCACGATACTATTTATAGAGCGAACAGTTATACAAGATCCTCTCAAAAGACTATTAAGACGTAATACTAGTCTTTACTTGTGGCATTAGTTCCCTCTAGAATAGCCGACTGACGTATGATAGATCGATATTTGCGTTTACACTAACAGGTGCAAAATGGTTTATTGCTTGTGCATTCACAGTTACACTATTTCATATGGTCTTAATAAAGGAAAAAATATTTGGTCTAAAAATACTGCTACTGTTGGCTTATTTATTTGCCTCTAATAATTTAATAAAATTCAATTAATTAAAAATTTTGTTAGTTGTTAATATCGTTTATTTTTCCAAATAACAGTTTTCACAGAGAAAATATTTTTATTTACTAATTCCTATTTAATTCAAATGGTCTTAGATGAATGGGAAAAACCTTGACGAAATATGCTTTTAAATAGGACTTATTGAAATATGTCTTAAAATGCGTATATTTTAGATGGGACATATGTTAATAGTGTCAAAAGTAACTTTGAGTACCTTTTAATAGGGCTTTTCGGCGCGGTATTTTAATGAGTTTCATACAACTAGACGTGTAAGTTGCATATCGTGCTTAAACTTAAGGAAAACTTTATACTTAATTAAAACGCCCTTTCAAAATAGGTTAGCGATATTGCCGTCATATCAAATAGTAATAATCCGTGTACTATAAACGTGCTATCATTCTAGTTTAGTGAGTATTTATTCGTTCACAAAATAAATTAAAAATTAATGATTATTAAATTTTTGTATAATAGAGTACATATTATAGAAATTCACCCAATTCAATATTTCAAAGAAAAGAAAACTAGTACTATATAATCGTTTGTTTTAGGAGGCACTAGAAGTGCTGCGCACAGCATCAGCCCGAGTGGAACTTCGTGTCTGCCGACCTCCAGCCGATATGCTCGAGAGCATAACACCTCCCGACCCCCCCACACCCCCAGTGAGGACGCCTCATCCCCCACATCTGCCACTGGACCCACTCAACTGCCATCCCTTACACGCCAGGTGAACAGTACAGCTGCCCTAGACGTTACGACTACTTACGACCTCATTCTCGGTCTTAACTTACTACATAAAATTTGAAAAGGAATTAAAAAACATGCAATACATGCTTAAAAAATAAAAAATGTAATTCCATGTATCAATAAGATATTATTAGCAATTGAAGAATCAAATCTTAACAGAAAACCGTATCGTATTATTAGTACACAACAAGCAAGTCTTTCAACAACAAAACAGTCCGTTAACAATGTCTAACAACCTTCTTTGATAACAACCATATATGTATAGTCGTCAAATTCTCTTTGTACACAGTTGCCGCTCGGACTATATCATTGTTTGCGGATCTCTATAGATTTACATTGTCACGTGAAATCTCCCTTCTTTGTACACACTATGTAACACAAGATTGTTTAAACATAGCACATATAATATATAGTATATAATATTCGCGATAATAAAAGTTTAACGTTATATTTTAATTAATATGTAAATATATAGTAGGTAAAGGTTCATCACCTTTTAATAAAAAATGTCTTTACAGATTAATTTTGATATAATATCTCTTAAGGAAAAAAAAAACAAAAATAACTACACTGTTCAAAAACAATCATCGCTATCTTTTAGTTCATATAAATAATTAATACAAAATACCATTTACAGAAATGTTTGAAATTCACTCTTTGATAACATTTCACAAACAATTTTGAAAATATTTTCTAAATTGAAAAATTCCTACCGGAATAATAAGGCTGCTAGTATATAAATACTTCAAACCTTTGTATTCTAACAATAGAACATAGTATTGTCGTTGAACTATTGGAAGTAGAAAAGTTTAAATTCAATAGTACAAGAAGCGAACGGAAATCAGTAACTTAGTTACTAGTGCAGTGAAGCGAAGAACAGCAAGGAAACTGCAAAATAAAATAAGCACGTACGAAGAACAATAATATATTTCATATCATTTCATTCCCAAACTGTATATTGCTTATTCCATTATAGAAGTACAGGAATTAAAAATCAAAGAATATAAAAATAGAACAACAATGAAATAATTTTAAACTAGATATATGTATTTTTTTAATATGAATACCTATGGGATACTGAAACCTTACAACCTTATGTTAAAAGATTATCACAAACGACAAGCAGTGCTACAACGTCGTCATCCGAAGGTCGAGGTCGCCGTGACGCCAGTCCTGATAATGAAAGAAGAGTCCAGGACCTACATCTGCCGGATTTGGACCAACATCTACCAGTTTATGATATACAATATGGGGTAAATAAATCTAGAGTATGATAGATATTAAATAAACGTATTTCATTTAGTTCGTGATGGCATTATATTAATGAAACATCACTATATAAGGCTACTAATTATCCCTCTTGCTAGAACTACTCCTAGTTAAGATAACCACAGCTTACAGTTTCAACAAACCCCTAAGTCTCTTACATGAAGGTGCCACTTAAGTTAGTTAAGGGTCGTCACTTGGTGTGTGCTATACTTAATCTCTTGTTTACTCTGGTATGGCGAAACTACCTTTTAATTTTTGTCATAGACATTGCTCAATAACGCACTGAAAGCATTGATAACTGTTATTATGTTTAAACATTAAAATCTCTCAGATTAAACATTTGTGACACAAAGAAAATGATTTTTTGATATTTTATAGTACGGTAAGCATTCAGTTGTATTCTTATGAAACATTCAGAACATGAAACTTGGGTAATTTCAGTGCATTATAGATTTTCCTAGTCATTTAGCCGGGATTGTAGATATCATTTATTTATTGCAACCGTAGCTACTGGGCTTGTTTCACCTACGTAATTGAGAAACGTGCTGTTTGATTAAGAGCCGCATAAATCATATCAACTGTATAGTGTTGGCAGTTGTGAGCTTTGAACAGAATATCAAGTTAAGGGAATTATGTGATAGAAATACTGAATATTCAATTCTGATTAAGATCCTAAAAAAATAATCTTTTATGGATTATTTAAAATTTCGCTATCAAAAATAAAAAACATTGAAAATAACAGCATCAATTTTCACCAAAAATTTTAGCACGCGATCTTATAATATCAACGAATCAAAAGAAATTTCTGAATACAAAAGAGATGCGGATATAAAGTTGTACGTGGAATTGAATTATATCTCTTTCGTAATATATCTCACTACATATTCCAATTTGAACAGCATTTTTTTCATTGCGTTTTTATTTATTTCCTAACCATATTTTTAGGTACAAATTGTTAATATTGTAAAAATGTAGTTATATTCGTGACACTGGCCTGTTTTCATTAATAAAGCTATTTGTTCACGCTTCATAGGATGATGGATCTGTGGTAAGTTATTACATTTAGAAAAATATTGCTCGCATTTGAGAGCACAATTGTATTACATCACAGTTGTTTTGATCCCAAATTTTTTTTGTTCACCACAATATAAATTATGATATTTTTAAAAGGAACGAAAATAAATGATGATAAATTCTCGAGTGTTAAAAATAAATTGAACAAATTAATGTATGAAAGTGGTAAATGTAAATGACTTGAAAAGGAAGTTGAGTAAAAATATTTTTATCTAATTAATCTTACTTAGCTCATAGCCGCGTTTAAACTAAAAGGGTGATTTAAAGATGCTGTAAAGTAAATGTTAGACCATTACAGTTAGAATTTAAAGACTTCAGAGCATCGTTGTGTTAATATTCTCGGTTTTTATTATACGTACTTGTTTTAATTATTTTTCTAACTATCTTCGGGTACCATCTGTCGAATAAATAAATATTTTAAAATTTTATACGTTAGTGCGACATATGGAACTAATATGCGTGGCAGCAATTAGCGAAACTTTGTTCAGTTTTTTGACATAGTATAAAATTGAAATGAAATATTTTGAGAAAAAAGTTACTTACTTTTCAATTTCTTTGTATTAAATAAAATGATAATAAAGCAATGATTTTTCCACATGTCATTATAATTTCTTTTCCAGGAATTCGATATAGTGATGACAAAAGTGAATGGATCTTTGGGATTTACACTAAGAAAAGAAGATCACAGCGCACTGGGGCATTACGTGAGAGCGTTAGTTCGAGAGCCAGCTTTGAGTGACGGAAGAATACAGCCAGGGGATAGAATTGTCGCTGTAAGAATACGAATACCTTTAAAGCTTGTATTCTACTAGCTCCATACGAATTGTAACCTATAGAAGTCACTTTAAAATGCTATTAGTCAACTTGTATTTTCAATTTGTAACTTATCTCTGCTGGGGACACTTTTCTGTTGACTTTTACAGACTTTTATATTCACGGTTTTCCACACAGGCATACTAAACTCCTGCATGAAAAAGATAAATTTAACATCGTCAGCAAAACGTGATTTTAGGAAGCTGAAATAAGAGTTTTTCCCGACAGTTTTATAAGCAATCATAGACAATAATGATTCAAAATGAAACTTAACATGACGTTATAATCATTTTATTGAAACGACTGAAATCTAATAGAAGAGACTGGCTGATGGCATATGGTAATATTGGATCAAATCCAAAGATAGTCCCATAGATTTATAAAACTAATTTAATCTGTCCATCTATCTTTTTAAAAAGGATACAATAAAACACGCAACGGTAGTCTTTGTTCGAAATTTCAATCAAATGGAAAAAGAATTTAGGTCGGGTCCATTCTTTATTGTTTTAGTGAATGTAGCTCAGAATTTGGATACTGTATTCCGAGTTCAGAATGACGTAAAGCTTTCAAAGTAGATAAAAACATGACGAGCTAACCTGCATCGGACGGACAGAAATATGAGGTTCCAGATAAAATGAAAACAAGATATTCATTTTATTATATGGTATTATAGCGTATTTATATTTTACTTCTACTATTATACGGGTATAATCCACACATAGTAATCTATCGCGAAAAATAAACTAAATTCTGATATAATTAAAGGTCAACAACACACCGATGTCAAACATGTCTCACTCGGAGGCAGTGTCTTTCTTGCGTGCGTGCGGGTCGGAGGTGCGCCTGCGACTGTATCGCGACCACGCAGCGACCCCCCTCTCACCCGTTTCCCCCAAGGACATACTTACAGACTCCGACGCACCGCTGAACAGACCTAAACCTCCATTGAGGTCAGTTATTTAAATTAGTTATATAATTATGGTTGTTCATTTAATCATAAATGGCATTTATTATAGCGTCATTCATCGGATCGAAGTAATAATAGATACACATTTATAATAATTCGTCTTCATTATAATATTTTGTAATAAAACTGGGTAACCCACAAGTTATGTTTGTAACCGTTATAGAATGACAAGTTATTTCATTGGTCTAAAGTAACATTGATCTTAATGACATCTATTCGTGAAATTATTCTAGGTTTTGCCAGTAAAGATTGTTTAGTTTCTAGTATTATTATGTCATTAGGGCTGAAGCAGTATCAATGCTATGCGACCTGGCAGCAAGAAGACTGACTCCAGACGCGGGCGATGGTTCACGATCCCCTTGCCTCTCCCCTCGCAAACATCGAAGACTCACCAAAGACAACCACTACGAACAGCCCAGTACGTAACGAATACCCATAGAATTGTCATTAATAATAATCGTTTTTTTTTTCAGTCCAAATTTTGAGTGTTAGAGCATAGAAATAAAGTGAAAGTTATTTCAGTTACCTCATGATTCAGAACGGATTAAAAATTTTAATACTGATAATTTAAAATTAAAAGTCTAATTAAAATCTATTGAGGGATATGCCGTCTGATATGTGTACCGTATGTTATATATTTTTATGGACTTAAATTTTCTCCTAAAAAAACTACAACTATCATTTTAGATTTGTAACCTATGTTAAGGTTAAGTTCACTTTATATAAGTATATTGTATAGGTATATATTGGGAAATTTATCTTACTCTTTATTCGTTATAATGGACATATTTAATAATATCATAAGGTTTTCAGTAAAGAATTTCGACAAATTGCTGCGCCAATGTCACTATCTACCAATCGCCATCATCTATTATGTCCCAATATTTTACTTTATATTTGATTTTTTTCAATTAAAATATATTCCCAGCAATACCACTTGAATTTAATTAAAAATTTTGTTTTCATTTTTTTTATATTTTTAAACAAAAAATATTTATTTAATTGGATAAATATTCTAGTGACTACTTCGTATAAAAATAATTAATTGGAAAAAAATCGCAAAAAAAAATGTATAAATTTTTCCATGAAATATTTACTATTTTAAACTTAGTTTCATTCACTTTTTGTATCAATTTGTTAACATATACAACATATGTAAGATAAAAATATAAACTCCAAAATTTTACATGAAATAAAATCTGTATGCATATATGTATCTATCCATGAGATGATTTTTGATCTTTTGTTCATATTTTCTTTAATTTAAAATAGTCATAACTTAAACTTTCAAATTTGTATTGAATCTCATCATCCTACTATATCTACTAAATAATTCCAATAATATCTCTGAATACACACATGCTATGAATACGAAACGTGTAAACTCAAATCTTCTAATACAGTTCACTCTATCCCATCCATTAAATCTGAATCGTGATTTGGTTCAAATAATCTTTGTTTAGATCAGAGCTGTTAGGTGAATGGCTCATATAACACGGTTACACTAACAAACCAATAGCTCAACCGGTCTATTAATGTACAATACAGATATACGATCTCAACGAGCAATCCCAATATTGGCCTAACATCCATCGAACTTAATGCGTACACTGCATAACATGATAGGAGTAATGTTACTATTTACAGCCATACATATATGAAACTTTTATTTTGCGTACCGTTTACAAAGACGACATAACATAATATTTAAGAATATATATAGCGATAACTGTCAGACACAACGCAATATATTATTTGAAAGTGGTAGCGTTCTATTGTTCCATAAATTCTAACTAATATCGTAAACACTGCAGCTATGCAAGCATTGTGGGGAAGAGATTTAAATTAATGAATATTTTGGTGGAACGCTCCGCAACGCAAACATCCACGACAAATCTGATTTATGAAAATAACTCTTTGTTATAAATGTGAATTAATTTAGCAATTATACTTGAATATTATTACTTTATATTCTTGTAAAGGTGTTTACTTTGTTTTATTGGACATAACACCGTACGAGGCTAACACAGCACATGTAGTTCACAATATCTAAGCAAGTAGGTTTTCCGCACAGATGTATCAAATTTCGCTACGCTAGAGACACACACAAAACGAGAGAGCTGCAAACGTTCAGACACCGAACGTACAGCTGTAGAGAGAGGGTTGGTCTTAGAACGATCTGCATCCACAACAACGGAGATGCCTGTAGATAATAAAACACGCTATGAAGAACCGAGGCGGCGTATAGCACTCGCCAGTCCCACAGCTCCGCCGACTTGTAGAAAACAAAAGCTAAGCCTGACAGGTGAGACGTTAATGAGCTCACGTAAACGCCTGTCTCCTATACGTAGCACTAACGCTGACTGAAGGCTCATCACACAAACATTTTGCAAAGCTTCTGCAATACATATATATTAAATATCCTTTGATTGTGACAAATAATCTTTTATACTCAGTCATCAGTCAGCGCGTTTTTAAAATCCGAAACGGCATCTTGACATGCAGGATTTTGTAATAACATGCTTCGGACAGACCCAAGCCGCACCATGATATGATCACACTCACTTATATAACCAACATAGAACTAGACACATCTGCAAACTTTATATCACTTATGTTGTTATGCTGACACCCCATGATCATATTTAACCTTGTTTTTCCGTTTATTTTATCTATTCATAAGTTTTGTGTACTTATTAGCTAGTAAAGAAATTTGACAAAACCAAAATTAATAGTGTTTATATTCTAATATTGAAACATATGTAAAAGGAAAAGTTAAACTATAGAGAGAGTATGTGTTATTTTTGACATTGCATTGCGTGTACCATGACACGCACTAGTCGTAGTCACGAACGAAAAAATATAAATAAAAAGTAACATTTCCTGTTAACGAAAATATTACAGTTAAACATTACATTCAAAATTTGTATATCTCAATATATTTATTTTTATTTCATTTTTCGACACGTACAACTAATAGAAAATTTTACAAGTGCTTAAATCTATTACATTATTTATGTATAATATAGTAAAATAAATAATATTTTACATCTTGAAAAAAATGTGTATGGCTTTTGAATGCATTTTATGTGATCAAACTTTAAAATCGATGAAAAATACCACAATTCGCTGTATCAGCGCAAAGTAGTTCTGTTTTTGTTTATTATTATAGTATATTAATTTGATAATAGCTTATTTGAACCTAAATTAACTGTAATATTACCACCTTCTTGTTCATCTAAAAATTTCAAATTAGTATCGTATAGTATGGTTGAAAGGAGATTAAAAATATTTTTAATAACAAAATGTAAAAGAATGAATACCCAGTTGTGGAAATCATGAGTTTTTATGAATCCTACTCGTCGATAAAGGTAGATTCTGTTACCCATATGTGTAGTTAGCGCCCCTTAACATTACAAGCACTTTGATTATCAATAGACAGTTAATTCGTTTTTAGTTTATACAATTACAGTTTTAGTATAAATCTGTTTTAATAAAATCACAATATGACAAGGTATAAAGAATATTTTAGGCACTAGTATAAGAAAAAGCAACATTTTACTAAAAAAAAGCGTAGTGTACCTAATCAACGTTAATGCAAATAACCAAATGTTTTTACAGCCATAGCATCCCTAATGATATTCATTTCTAGATTACTGAAAACACTACATGAAATTAAAATCCTTTATTAACACCTCAGTGATTCCACAGTACCCCCTCATGGCTACGAACTAAATAATTTAGACAACGACCAATTGGACGCACCGAATTTGTACCAGGAGAATATAACACTACAGCGGTTCACTGAACCTGCATTCCCGGTTGATTCCGATGAGCCAGTGTCAATGCCAGCTGAACTGTCTAGTGATGAAAGATTTAAACACTCAAGCCCTGCTTATCAGAGCGCTGTACTCCATACCACAACTACTGAAAGTACCTCCGATGGAAATAAAGATGACGGTAATAATCGCACGTCGACCCAAAAACACTATTTTTGGCACTATGTAATTCTTAATTTAATTTTAAGGTAATGGCTTAAAAAAATGGAAGGGAGTTGCCTTGTCCCCTGATAATGAGAGGAAGGCCAAGCCACCTACATCGGAAATTCCCCCTAAGCCTATGGAGGCTAAAGAAATTGAAACCGTCCAGAAAGAAAACGTCAAACCTGATGAACCGGTGGAAGCAACAAGCACAGAACCCACGGTAAGACAAAATAATCCACTGACAATATTAAACTTTTAAATAGTAACTTATAGCAATATGTCGATTCTGTAGTAACAGAAAAATTATGTTTTGGCTTTGAAAGTACCTATGTCTAGTAGCAGGAAAACTTTAAATGCTTTCCCTTATTGGAAAACCCATTCTTAGATATATGTACCAAAAAACAAAATATATATTGATTCGGGTTTTGAGCTAAATTAACCATTGAAATTAATAAAATAAATATCTATGAAAGAAATATTTTTTTAATTTATTAGAACAATTTATTTTTTGCCTACTTGAATTTGTTTTTATCAAACTGAATTTCAATTCAAAATTCCCAATTTATTTCTTTTTTATTGCGAATAATTAATTGGCTTTTCTTTGAAATATTTAAGCAACATACAAAATAAAAACAATAAAGATTTTTTTATTGATTGCGAACTATCATATTAATGACCAAAATAATTATATACTGCAGATAGTGACAGTGGAACTGAACCGCGGCTGGAATAGTCGTTTGGGATTCAGCGTCCAAAGCCATCCGGAATCGGGCCAGAGTTATATCTCCGCGGTTTACAACGACAGCGTCGCCGCCAGAGATGGGAGGCTGCGGCGGGGAGATGTTATATTACAGGTACATCTTTGTCCCTTAATTCAAACTCAAATAACTTTATTCAATATAGAAGCATTACACTTTCTTATTGATGGTCACTTGAGACACTACCACCGGTTCGGAAAAGAAAATACCCTGACCTGAGAAGAACCGGCGAAAGAAACTCAGCGGGTTTTTGTTATATATATATGTCTCATATATGTATTATATAAACAATTAAATATGAGATGAAATAGCCAGGAGGCGATTAATGATTTTGATATCAATCCTATTGTTATTCTAGTGTTATATGAGATAGTGAAATGGTAAATATTTTGAACTATAGTGAAAAAGATCTTTCAGTTATTATACAGATTAGAAAATATTTTCGTAATGCTTCAATTTATCTTCTTAATTTTACACCGTTCTCCTCACAATTCATTTTCAAGATATTTTCTTTTGTCAATTCAAAATGATAGGAAACAGTACCTAATTGACCCTACCTCGTAAGTCATATAGTCCCTATATAGTCATCTTTTTAAAAAATATTTGTTATCAAATTTATGATCATTATGAGTAATCGTAATGGTTTCTACTGATAAATTTATCAATTTAATCTGGAAAAAAATGCCAATACTTCTAATATAGAAAATAGTAATTTTTGAAAACATAATGATATTATATTAAAAAGCAATTAACTTCCAAAGAAAACATGCAAAAATACCAATGGACGAAATAGATTGAAGCTAAAGACAATATTTCATTAATTTTAATTAAGGATATACAATTACTGTGGTATTTTAATAAAAAATAATCTAACATCTGCTACCTACTTTAATTTTTATTCGTCATTGCATATCAGCAAATATTGATAACAATTAAATATTAATCAGTGACAAAATTATTCTATTATCTATAAATATGTCTATATAATGCCGATATATATTTTTCATATTTATGTAAAACTACTACTTTATTTTTCCAGGTGAACGATGAGAACGTAACTTCAATGAAGACACCTGAAGTCATAGATTTACTACGAATATTGCGCGGTTCCATCTGCATAACGGTACTACGGCCAGCTAATATCTGAATCACATAAATGTATAGAATTAAATTCAGTCAATTTAGAATCTCCTTAAAATCAAATAAATAAACGCACACCGGCTTCTATACAATTGCTCTAAGAAATTGTCTATGTGCAAAAGTAGCTTTACAATGCGTTTCATAAATATCTGTCATAGTTGTAATTTATACCTTGTATCTGATAGGTGCTTTGAACACTTCGCAATACATATATACTAGTATGTGTATGTAGTATCAGCCTACGTATTAAAAAGCCTACTATAAATGAACTATTAACTATGACTGTTAATGTTCCTAAATTATAAAATGATATACATATGTGTTGTATTTAAATGATATAGTACGATATTATACGGTAGCCATTCAAGAAATTGTTCATTTCTCTAAACAGACCAGATTATCAGAACAATTTTGAAATAGATTTGTACATGAAAGCAATTTAAATAAGAATACAATCACGTAAACGACATCATTATATCATTCCAGAGTAAAATTAAATATATTATTTAAAAAGACACCGAACATATTTCATGTATACCGTAAACAACAAACAGATAAATGAATTTTATTTTTTAAATATAAATATTAACTATGATCAACATATAAAGCAGTATTAAAGTATAATTGATAAAAAAAAGCGTGCTGGCCACGGAAGTAACAAATTATTAAAAATATATCCATTTGACATAAATAGTATGTCGGTTCATAAAAACCCGCGTTTCACGTATTTTGACAGCTATTATGTAAGTGTCATTAATTTAAATAACGCTGTTACTCGTCAGTTACGATATTGAATTTAATAAGCATAGATTTAAGATTAAATTTTTATGATATATAGGTACTGATTATATCTAGTCAAATTAAATATAGCGGATGAAAAATAAAAAATAAAAAACAAATATTTTAATGCAGGTTATATAATAGTAGTCAAATGTTAATGCGAAATATGATGCATAGATTATTATATATTATAACTTTTATTCTACATATAAATAAAAATGTTTTATTGATTTCATATAATATTGTTATCACGTAACAGATTTTATTGACAAATCTATTGAAAATATTATTGTAATTTATATAGATATATTATATAAAATTAGTAATATAATATAATCATCTGAACGAAATGGAGGAAAAACTGATATTCTAAATAATTGTGATGGATTTGTGTTAGTATGTATGTGATAATTATAAAACATAATTTAATACATATATTAATGTTACTTAGGTGCAAAACGTTTTGAACCCAGGTCGGTCTTAGGTAATGAGGAATACTATAAACTTTAATAATACATAGCGTCTTAGTAAAATAAAGATCTCCTGGATATAAAATTGAATCTCTTCATGCAAATAGAAAGAGAAATGCCTTCATGAGAAAAATCGACGTAAGAAATACATTGACGCTTTTATGTTTTACGGTATTTTTGTGCAAATTGAATGATTGCTATATGTTTATTATTGAAGTTTATTATATCTCGTAAAACAACTAGTCTGCAACAACGTGACTATTGACTAAGTTGAAGTCAACTAATAACAAATATTAATTTGTTCGTATATATAAACTTACTTTTCTTGTATTTTAAGTCCCGGCCTAAAAATATTTGTCAACAATTATCATGCATGGAGGACTTAGCGTTATATAACGTTAATAATGATTATTATTTAAATTTAATTGCTGTAACACTTACGCAATCAAGTCAAAGTCGTTTCAGCGACTATTATAATAATAAAATATAATGAATTATTAATTTTGATGACAGTCTTGGTTGGTGATATAAGTATTGGATTCCATATTATGAAATTCTTATGACGACGTGAGATAAGATCTATATATATTAAATAAAAATCTTTAAATCACAGATTACCATATTAAATGCTTGCTAGTCTCGCGACTCTTGGATTGTATTAGCTGAATGCAGGAATTGTTTGTTTTATGAAAACATTAATTAATAGGAACGTTAAAAAATGTACAATATACTTTATCTTATAAAATAAAAGATCATTATAAATATTAAATATACCTATGTTTTATTTATTAAATAAACCTTTCGTCCTTGATGTTTGATATTGACAGCAAAATAACGTCATAAAGTATATAATATTGTCGCGAACTTCAATCAAACATTATCGTATTTATTTGTTAGTTGTGACCTATAATAGAGTAATTATTATGATACGGAGAAGAATTGCAACAGAGTCGTTATGTCAATAGATTTAAATTATCTTAGGGTCACTATTCCAGTGTCATGAAAAAATATATATGTAGAAGAAATTATGCAGTAAATATCTTATAAATAAAATTCTCGTGTCGCGGTGTTAGACAGAGAACTCCTCCGAAACGGCAGGACCGATTTTGATGAAATTTTGTAAGCATATTGAGTAGGTCTGAGAATCGGCCAACATCTATTTTTCATACTCCTAAATCAGAAGGGTTGTTCATTATTTTTTTTTTTTATTTTCGGACGTTTATTGTTTATTTTTTTTATAATGTATCATTCAAATACATACAACCGAATCATTTTTAATCACAACCTCTATTTTTTTATATGCCAAAACAACTTTTGCCGGGTCAGCTAGTAAAAGTATAAAATTTTATTCATGACCTTTTTTGATCAGCACTTCCGTAAAACATTGAATTTGATCCTTTATTCTATATAATTGAAAATTATAAGATATAGAAATTATAATTAAAGTCCAAAACAATACGTCAAATCAATAAATCGTGAGGTTGTTATGTTACATCATACAAACAATAAAACAGTTATAACGTGTGCACGGAGCCGATCAGCGTGACAGGAGCAATGCACGACCGAATACGATGGACTAAACCTCCTAGTCCCTATTAGAAAAAAAAAATAAAGTCTTGACAAAATATTATGTGTATATAAAACCTTTTTTCACTTTTAGAACTGGGTGACACTAAAATTCAAAATTTAAAAAAAAAACTATTTGATAATTGGTCTTTTATAATAATGACCAATTTATAGATGGACAGCATCGATATTAATATTTTAGTATAGTTTTCATTAAAATCAATTAGCAATATCATCAAATCTTTTCTCAATCGGCTTACGTAACATAATATATAAAATCGCAAGTATTGCTATTGTATAGGAATTTTTAAAAAAGGAAAGACGCTTCACTTGTAGGCAGTGTTATTTAAATTTGGAACACCGCGCCGTCCAGCCGACCGTGAAGCTCCCTCGGACGCGGTGGACGCGCGCTGACCGTGACGACTAACCATATGCTACGTGGATTTAATATTAATAAAGTCACTATAAAGCATCACTCTCATTTATGGAGAAAATTAATTTATAGAATGTTTTTATTTAAACTGAATGGTAATATGGTCAAAAACATCTTCATTTCAATTTCGACGAAACTAAATATATTGAAGGAACTTTTATTATTCATATAATGACTATTATACGTTGATTTTTTATTAAGTTTATCAAATTTCGCGTCTTCATAGTATTTCCACTTTTAAAGTTTTAAGTACAGTTGAATAATTGGTAAAAATAAATATATTACAATAGACAAATTCGTCTTTTAAATTTTTATAGACCCAAACGAAGCACGTTACAGAAAAATTGCAATACTTACCTACCATCATCATACCATACGATAATGAAAATATTTATTTCTAATTAACCAAAAATAAGTGATTTTAAAAAAAAGGATCATCTAAATTTTTTTAATATCTTTCTGAGAAAAGCCCTTTTTATATACTATAATAGTTGACAATATTATAAATAATAACGATAATGAAAATCACCCTAATCCAATCAGTCTGAGCTTCAGAAGACTATCGTATATATCCTTATTAATTTTATCAATAAAATAAACAAATAAATAACCAAACAACTCCATCATAACTTCTAATTCACAATAAAACTTTACTATTAGAATCAAAAACTAAATTCGAAAGTAATGTGAAAATTGCACTTGTTTATATCGCTTTGAGGGATGTAGTACGTTAGTTAGAAGCTACTCACTAGTCACCAGTCTCGACTAGTCCGTCCGACGCGCTGGTGTCGCCGCAAGAGGAAGTGCAGTGACTGAGCGTTGGTTTTTATTAACAGAATTTCAAAATTGGAATAACGCTGTTTATTATTTTTTTATTCATTATTTTGCGACCAGCTTCAAGACAATTTGTAAGTTTTTATATATGTAAATTTTATTTGTTAATGAATAACGAAAACAATTCATGAAAATAAAATTTCTTATCATATACGTTATTTATATACTTACATAAGGAAATAAAATTTAAATTTAGCTTTTATTACAGTAATTCAAATATAGAATGGAAGTTCTTACTTTTTAAAATTTTATAAGTGCATAACTAATTTTTTATAAATATATTTATATGTACATGTACATATGTTTGTAGGTATATATAACAAAAAATTTGTGCGAGAATTTTTTAAATATTTAATAATTCTTCAAAAGTCCTTTCTAAAATTCAATTTCTCTCAAAATGTAATACATAAATCATAAATTTATCTTAAATTCATTCGAAATTATAAACGTAATTACATTTAGCATAATCAATTAATGGATGATTCAAAATTAATTAATTTGTTTTGCAAATTGCGTCTTATAGTCCATATAAATTATTCTATTATAATAAATCGATAGTTCATTAATCATGAGCACAGCCCTGTACCCTTGTATAGTATATCAATAAAAACTACAATAAACAAGTTTATCTAGAATGTGGAAGCTCTACGTAAACCCGATCGGAAAACGTAAACAAATCATAGGAGCAAGTAGATCGTGACAGATTCCAATTTACGGGTCAGATAACTTTACGTCCGTACGAAATAAATTTATTTTAAGAAAGCATTTCAATGTTTTACTGTGCTAACCATTGGAATCATTTGTTTGTCTTGCATTTTAAAAGTGATATTTTTAAAACATTCTCTCGTATATAAATATTAATTTACACTTTCTAATACTGAAGTAATAATAGGTTAATTATAATAAACATCGTATTTATATTATTTATTTTATATATTTATATATTCAAATTATTATAGATTACATACATATTTTAAAATAATATACGTGCTGACAATAACATATTTAAATAGAAAAAATATAAATATTTTAAAAAAAGCCCAATAAAATAAAGTTGAGATATAAGTTAAAGAAAAATGGAGTTTTCACATGAGATAAGCGAATGCATTACGGAAAATATCTCATTAAAAAAGTTTTCATATACATATGTGGAAATCGTGTGAATGTCACTAATAAACAATATGGCGGCCTTATTATATGCAGATGTTATATTAGATTGACCTGCACCCGACTATCATTAAAAAAATCTAGATTATTCCTTAGAATTCATATCGTAAAAAGAATTTATTTTATTAATATTATACATTAAAGCTCGTAGTTTTAGATAAATAACATAATTATTTTATAAATAACTGCTATCTAAATGAATAAAAACTATTTAAAGAAGTGTCAATAAATTTAATTAATATTAATGCGATTTAAATATATAAATATATTTTCGGATTGAGCACTATTTAAACGAAAATCATATTAATTAGAAAAGATTATCTCGTTTTAAAAATATATCTCCTTCTCTGGTTGTATTTAATTATGTTTATCTTTTGTTATTTTACTTAAATTCGAGTTAGTACCGGGAATAAACAATCTATTGAAATAATTAGATGACGTTGAGTAGACTTGAGGAAATCTGACTAATTGTTGATTTTATTTATAAAAAATTAACATAACAAACAAAAACATAAATATGTTGTTTAGTTAAGAGAAGAAAAACCATCAAAAAATATTACTTATCATTAAATCCGCGACTTCAAATATTTTCAAATACGCCATTGTGTATAAGTTATAATCAATTGATTTGTCCGGAAGACGATAATAAATAGATATGTACATAACATATAAGAGGCCCTTTGAGATTGTCATTGCCATTTGTAAGTTAAATACATTGGCGTCAACATGGTTAAGGCTCGGAAATACGTAGTGAAGAAGAAATTTGAAGGTGTACCGAAACGAGATGACTATGAAATTGTTGAGTACGAATTAGGTCCAATACAAAATGGCGATATCTTGGTGAAAGCAGAGTGGATCAGTGTGGACCCTTACCAACGTGCGTACCATGATAGATATCCAATTCCCTACGATCAGTTTGGATTTCAAGTCGGGATTGTAGAAGATTCCAAGAATCCCAAATTCCCTGTTGGAACGAGGATTGTCACCCATAAGGGATGGTGTGATTACAGCATAATCAACTTAAATGATGGTATGAAAACATCTATGGACATCGCTTACAAGCTACCGGACTTAAAAGGCCTTTCTATATCTCACGCTATCGGAGCCGTTGGTATGCCTGGAGCTACAGCTTATTTCGGTTTCCTTGAGATATGTAAGCCAAAAGCTGGTGAAACAGTCGTAGTTACTGGTGCCGCTGGGGCAGTGGGTTCGTTAGTGGGACAAATCGCTAAAATAAAGGGATGCAGAGTCATCGGCTTCGCTGGAACAGATGAGAAGGTACAATGGTTGGAACAGGAATTAGGATTCGACAAAGCATTTAATTACAAGACAGTTGATGCCAGGAAGGCTCTTAAAGAAGCCGCTCCGAATGGAATAGATTGCTACTTCGACAACGTAGGCGGCGAATTGAGCAGCATTATCATGAATCAAATGAATAACTTTGGAAGAGTCTCTGTCTGTGGAAGTATAAGTGCGTATAATGAAGATTTTAGCCAATTGCCCAAAGCTCCTATTGTACAAGTCGATATTGTTATGAAGCAATTAAAGGTTGAGGGATTCCTTGTACCGAGATGGTTGAACCGTTTTCCCGAGGCTTTTTCTGAAATTGTAAACTGGATCCAGTCTGGACAATTAAAGGTGAAGGAACATGTGTTAGAGGGTTTTGAAAATATATTTGATACGTTTGTCGCCATGTTGTCCGGTGAAAATACCGGCAAGGCTGTCGTTAAAGTGTAATTTATTTAATGTTTTATTAAAACATAATACCGTGTATAAAAATTTCGTTATTTTTATATATTTCTCGTACTCGCTAAGAAGATTATCTTTAGCTTAATCAGATAAAATATGCCTATAGCATTATCTGAATGAATATCAGCACGTCACTTAAATATTATCAAAAATATCAGTGACAAATATGTGGGTATTCATGGTATAGATTTATAGATTAAAAACTAGTAGGTATTGAACAATTTTTTCCCGTATGAAATATTAACATTATATAATTCAGTTTCATTATAGAATATTTTTGATATATTTATGTTAAGAAAAATTTTTTTTTTAACATCAATTTTCAGTACGAATCCCAGTACTCTTTATTGTAAATATATTTTAATTCATATATCGGTTTTGTTGTTTTAATAAGTATTTAAAACTTATATCGCCTCACTGTTGTTACGCTCGATACACACCAGTACCCACCTGCGATGGGGCAAACGCCCTTAGCGTAACCCATATCTATATTACAGGTCTGTAGTCTGTACATACAAATATTCCATCTTTGCCTACATGTTTATATAAAAAAGCATTAAAATATAATAACGTTTCAAACCTTTGCTATTTTAAATCAAAACTTTCGTAGTAAGAGTAAAAGAAGTAATTAAACAATAATTGAAGCTCCTACATTTGTCTTAAAAATAACAACTCAAAAAAGTAGACGAAATACTCAATTTTAGTAATGTCTTCTAACAAGCAATGTAGAAATATAAAAAACGACTCATTGTGGCTTCGAACCGCATCTTTCTAATGATATCAATTTATTTTTATATATAACACCAAATAAACAATGAGATGTACATGTAATGATACACTTATATGATTGATGTTATATAAAAGAGAAGTTTCGATTCTCTATATAATTATATATATTTAAATAAACTTATAAAATCGTAGTGAATACGAAGGAAGTGACCCTATAATTAAGACTGATTGCGAATGAGATACTTTCGCGTGTAAAAAGCGGTTCACCTGCTATGTCTTCGGAGGATTTGCACCATATCCATTCCCAGCTATAGCATTGAGTCATATTTTCCAAGTATTATACAGACTGAAGCTCTCGGCAATTGTGAGGATGATAATATTAACAGAAAAATGATTTATATTAGAGAAACTGAAGTTAAACATTAGTATCGAGATAGATTTAATTATCGCACATTATCAAGTGGGAGAAGAGAATCTATGTACAAATGAAAGTAACGTCCTTTTTGTGTGCTATCATTATAAACCCATTTTACCTCACACGTTAAATTAAAGTTGTATACTTTGTGTTGTCTTCTAAAAGTGAAATGATAGCTAAGTAAACTATTTATTTCATGTCGGTATCTATGAACTGGCAACATTTCCCTATGACGCAAGTCGGTTTAATGGCGTGTGTTACATGACACACGCATCTAACAAAATTTAACTTTTTCTTCCATTTTTACACTACTAACAAATTACTTCTTGAATTATACAAGGTAATATTAAAATGAAAGTTGATAATTGAATCAGGATTATTACACTTAAAAAGTATAGTGATTAAAACAACAATATCAATCGTTTTGATATGATAAATTGTCATCACAATAGTTATATGCGATATATAAATCTTGGTTGATTATTTAAAAAAAAAAAGATAAAAATTTAAATGAAAATATCTCGAAATAAATGTTATTAATTTAATGTTATATGAATTTCGTATTTGCTTTAATTCAGGAAAAACTGTAAAAATTATTATTAAAAATTATAAAATAGGCATACAAATCAAAGTGGTTTATTTATAAAGATACTTCGAGTTATTTTTTTCCCCCACAATTCCTTAAATTATACTGGTAACAAATGTATGGACCATATATAATAGATTCTTTTAAAGTAACTAGGACAGAATTTTATCAAGATGTTTATGCGTTAAGTAATATTCTCGCAACATACATTTCAAAACGTCATATAAACTTTTAGCACTGAATTAACAATTCGACAAGCAAATAACAGTAAACTAATAACCTTTTAAATTGTTTTATACGCTTTAGATGGAAAAAGAAACGAAGCTTTAATTGAGGGCAGATGTTTTTTGTTAATACATATAAATATACCTATTGTAATTAAGTAAAAGAAAATCGACATGGCTTATTTTAAGTTATGGTCTTATTGGTCTTATTATTCTTATTCTTCTCTCAATCCTGGAATAAGAGTGTGGACTTTACGTACATTATATACTTAAGCATTGTATATTAAAAATTTATTAAATATTCGTATAATTTTATTTACGAAATAAACTATTTAATATTTTCACTACAGAAGACTATCTATGTAAATATTAATAATTAATAATTTGCGAAGAATGAGAGCGAATTAAAAAAATATTCAATAGTACAGATAAAGAATATTAGTTAATTTTTTTTTACCTTTGAAGCGATGAGTCTTATTATTAAAAATAAACATTTCCAGTGATAGTCGAAATTATTTTTAAACCGCACTATATACAATCCCAGGATCTTTTATTACCTACTATCATTTTAGCTTCTAAAGTGATTATCCGACAACAGTAAATTTTTATTAGTTCTATATATTATTTGAAAATTAATCTATAAGGTTTTACTGTTACTGAAATGTCAACACGTTACCTAAAGTAATAATCCACTTAACACACAAATACGTTAATGAGCTGTGGTAATCCGTTCAAACTATTAATTGGCTTATTACGGATTAACTGAGACCCAATCACTTAAGTCACTAATTGGATGAAATGGACAGTATTTATAGGTATATTTATATTTTTAAATATGACAACTTAATCTTAAAACATCTCGAGTACCCTATATAATATAGTTTCTAACAGGGTATACCCAACTTGTATCAAATTCAATCCCGATTACATTTAGCATACAAGATCGTTCTTCGTCTTCTATCTTGATAAGTTCATTGAAGTTACCGAGGGTAGCTTTCTCTCATTTTGGTAACCGTTGTGAACTCCTTTAATACTTCGCTATCATCCGTCATGCCCATCGAGCACAAATAACACACATTGTGTGTACATGCTTAATTCGTGATACACTTTCTAGACTGTTTCTGATACACAGCTCAATCGATATCTCTAAAGGTTAGCTCTTAGATCGAGAAAAGGATTATGCAATATTTCCGAATAACAAAGATAGGAGTTATGGTCTATTAACGGAAGTTTTTATGCGTAAAGTAAGGAGTAACTATATGATCTCTTTTTCTTAAAAATTTACGTATATTATATTTTATCTAAAATGTAATTATTTTACTTTGATATGGTCGCTAATTCTGACTGTTTTAAACAAAAAAGTGTACTATGTGATTAGTATAAAGTGATTTTCAATCTATATCTAATATAACAATAAATTTTCCCAGTGAAATGTCCCATTGGTCAGACGCAGTCATCGGCCTTGTCACGCTCGGAACGCTCTTTGACTCTTTTGTTTCAACCGCTACACAGTTCATTTTGACAACTATTTGAGTCATTGTCACAACACGTCAACGACACCTAAAAACGTTACACATCCGTTAATGCGAGGTCATTATTTAATTACTTTTATGTAATAATATGAATACAGTCTATTGTTTTAATTTTACTCGTGTGAAAGAACCTGTTCACAAAATTTACTTGATGTAATTAAAGAATTTCTGTGAACGCTATTCGTTAATTCGCTAGCGGATTCGTGAACTATCTACTTATGTAACCTTTATGGGATAATAAAGCTTTAAACTTCACAAAAAAAGAGAGTAATTAAAATTTTGGAGTAGAATCTGACAGTAAATACTGCAACTTCTAGCTATTTTCAAAACAAATCACTACAAGTTAAACACAAAAAGTAAAAACTATTCCGAAGTCAGATCTTCGTAATCCAAATGAAAACAAATAGTAAAAATAACTAAAGTTTTTCTACAATTCGTTTCAGAGAAAGACAATCAGAAACGCAAATACTTAGAGTGTTTTGTTATTAAAAATAAGAAATTCGCAAGATCTTATGACTTAAATAGAATTTTATGCAACAATTTTTTACAATAAGTCAGATAACTCAAGTTTTTAGGTCTTGCTATTCAGAAATCTTTTTTTTTGTTTTTACTGTAACTTGTGTAAATTAGAATATTTAAGACGGTGAATATATACATCGTCGGTCCGTCTGTCTTCAAGTTCGTAAAATTATGTGCTAATGTTACAATAAAACAATAAGATACGGACAGTTAACAAACTCAGCCTTTGACATGCACTGGTTATCGGATAGCTTTACCCCAGTTTTACAACAACATTCACATGTTCATACAATATGTTAAACATACGGATAGACTAATACTATACACTTTTATATTACTATATATACTATTAATATATTAATGAAACTGTCAGCTTAATTCAACTTAGTGACAATTCCACATTTTACGTATATACCTACTAAAACTAACGAACTTACTTTCGAAACTACCATAAGTATGTAATAATCTAAATATAAGAAACAATTAAACATTGTCACCTATCTCTTACAGGTGTGATTTAAGTGTCACGTAGCAGAAATTAAGTAAAGAGAGTGTCAACACTTTCGCCCGTATTGCACGCGCCAAATATTCTCACGGTGAAACCGTGCGAAGAAAAGTACCGGGAAAATGTTCTTTATTACAATAAACAAAAGGATTCGTTGCGGTAGATGAACGATGTCATCAGGGATGCGTTTCTCCTCAAGGAGTGCTAAAACACCACCAAGAGTGAGATTAAAACCGGCTATATGTGCCATAACCATAATTTGGCTGATGATCTGTGTAGAAGTCATATCAGCAAACAGACCACCACGGTTTCTTATAGATGGACGTTCAGAAATCGTGATCAGATTAAAAGAAGGTCCAGATACGCCAGTTGGTTAGTAAATCAAACTTTTTTACAAAAAAAAAATCAATATTATTTAAAAGTATAATTTCCCATCCATTTCCTAGCCCTTAAGAACTCTTTATAGGCCATATCAATT